AGGGTCATCAGCATTTGGTTGATCAATAACCTTACCAGCAAGATTTGTATCATTAATAGCTTCTGTGATAGGGTCATTAGAATTAAAGTGGCTTCTATTTTCTTGATCAAGTAAGTTAATATCACTAATATCTTCCCTATTGAATTGTTAAAATAATGAAATTATTGACATATACAAATTATATTTTAATAACATTGTTATACCTGTTTATATGTTCATCTAATTCTTCAATTTCAGTTAAACTATAACTAGCCGCAGGTCTAGAATTACATTAGGTATAACAATTTTTAATTTTGTATTACAATAAATTAATAACAATAATAGTCATATATTGTAATCTAACACTGTTTTAATATCTGTTACTTACAACAAAACATCATTAGACTCATCAAGTCTTTCAGTGTCTACAACCATTTGGAAACCTTCAAAGTTCACAAACGGTTCAGCAGTATTTGGATGACCATTAACAGGGACCTCTCCAATAAGATTTAAAATTTTGTCTTCCCATTCATCAGTCTTTTCATTTTCATTGTCCCCTCCACCAGTCTTTCTACAACTTTTTTTGTACTCGACACTTTTTGTCTTTACATTACTCTTTAAGTCTATCCAACACTAAAATTGTATAATAAGCAAATATTATATAAAAGACTTATTTTAAATGTTATCTGTAGAAAATCAGTTATAAGTGCTAGTATATCTCTATTATTTTTTTTATTTTAATCTGACTCATAAGATGATATTTAAATTAATTAATGAAACAAAATTATTTTATTTTATAGACTTATGATAATAATGATGGTCATCTATATAAGATATCTTATAAGGCATCTTGGATTTAAGTTAAAGTTTAGATTTAAGGAGAGTAATGTTAATTAATAGGTATAGTTAATTTTATATTTGCAAATGAATATTAGATTCAAATTTTTTACACTATAGTGCACATACAACAATATTGATTTAACAAGAAGTAAGAATATTTACTTTTTTCCATTTTAATGGTTCCTTAGTGGCTCCAACAATAGAATTAAGTTCATTAGCTATTTGCTGCCAAAGTACTTTAGATTTTTTGCTGGTGAATGTAGAACTAAATTTTCCCTTATGAAGTTCCGGATGGGACTGCATGTACGAAATTAATGCTTCCTTTTGAGCAAATGAAACCGACTTCCCTTTACATTTTTTTGACATTTTTAAAATGTTAGTTATAAATGTAGTAACAAAAGACAATGACAAAAAAGTTTGTTTTATTAATTAATATTTAATTATTCATCCAGTTGGCCGTAATTGATAAATAATTAATCGTTATCAGCCAAACACGATGTTATCTCATGGAATAATTAGCTATTAAATGATTACAATTCGATAGTCGAAAACTCGATCGAAAATCACTTATTCGATATTTGAATATTCGATTAGCTCTAGAGAATAGCTCAGATCGAAAAAAAACGATCGAAACAATTATTTCGATCGAAAATTGATAATCGAATAAACCTTTTCGACAGCCGTTTTCGATTGATTTGAGAATAGACCCCCAGAGTATTTATGGATCTAGCTCCGTCAGTATTCAACATATTCAAAACTATATTAGTCCAAAAGAAAGCTTTAAACGTCCTGTAATGAATGGTGAAAAATAGAATATTCTAACTTGAATTGGCAATAAGCTATAGTCCACGATACTTGGAAATTCACGCAAATTTCGTTGGTGTTTCAATTCAAAGTATTTATGTATTTACGGATCTAGCTCCGTCAGTATTCAACATATTCCAAACTACTTTAGTCCAAAAGGAAGCATTAAACGTCCTCTAAAGAATGGTGAAAAGCGGAAATTTCTAAATTGAATTGGCAAAAAGTTATAGTCCACGATACTTGGAAATTCACGCAAATTTCGTTGGTGTTTCAATTCAAAGTATTTATGTATTTATGGATCTAGCTCCGTCAGTATTCAACATATTCCAAACTACTTTAGTCCAAAAGAAAGCATTAAACGTCCTCTATAGAATGGTGAAAAGCGGAAATTTCTAAATTTAAGTGGCAAAAAGTTATAGTCCATGATACTTTTAGATTCACGCAAATTTCTTTGGTGTTTCAATTCAAAGTATTTATGTATTTATGGATCTAGCTCCGTGAGTATTCAATATATTCCATATTACTTCAGTCCAAAAGAAAGCTTTAAACATCCTCTAAAGAATTGTGTAAAGTTTAAAATCTAAATTTGTTAATATTTACTAGGATGAACTGAATTGCATGTAACGTGTAGTAGCCGATGACTTCATTAAGAACTTAAATATTGATGATAGTATTTCATCTGTTGTTAGACTAGGTAAACAGTCTGATAGGACTGCTGATAGACCCAGACCTATTAGAATCACCTTTGAGTCTCCGCAGGTGGTCTTAAACTCTTAACTGTTCTCAAATCTAAAAAATCACAGTTGAATATTCCTCGCTGGAAAAATGCATGTATTACTACTAATTTAACATACCATCAAAGGAAATTTCTATCATCACTATAGAATTAGAGGGACCGAAGAAATCGACTTGATAAAGGGACTTGGTTCATTAAATGTATTTGCAAAACACCCAAGCTCACCAAAAAAACTGTTGTATTCTAGTATTCTACTATTAGTAATAAACAACACAAATTGGTACGGTGTTAAAGACGTATATTGTATTTTATTGTGAAACCGTAACGTCCACTGGCGTGTGCGTGCCGATCGGCGTCGTACGCGGCGGACAGTCCCCACCGCGTATATTATTATATAATATATTATAATTATTCTATTGCAGACGGTGCTGTATCGATATACGATATACAACACCTCTCCCCTACGACTAAATAATTTGATTCACTTTTGAGTTTATATAACCGTGCTTATTTTACTTACTGACTAAACCTTACATCTAGTTTTACATTTTTTTTTTTTTTTTTTTTATATAACATCTTTTACATGCTAAATTATCTATATTATAATGAAAACAAATATACATATATATAAACATGTAGTATCGGTCTTATTTCCTGAAATCTATTGTTGTATAGCGGTCGGGCGATCTTTTCATTCTAGTCGGGCGCGAATGTCCGGTTGAGATTGTCTCGGTTTCCCTGTCTGACCCGTCTGTATCCCTCCCGGTCCCCTCTGGAACTAGTCCCCCCCTTGGGTTGGATGGGTTTTCGCTACATTCGACTTCCAACACTTCTGAGTCCCTATTTGGTATTTTAATGGTCTGGTCTATGTGTCGCTTCCATGTGCCCGCCTCAGTGTCCACCTCAAACGCTTGTTTTCCCACATTTTTCGTAACGGTTCCTATCGACCACTTATTTTCATTCGTCCGATAATCACGCACGGCCACGGTGTCTCCCTGTTGGATTTCGTGCTGTCGTTTACCGTGACGTTTGATTTGGGAATCCTGGTGATCGCTAACCACGTCTTTTGTGTTGGGAATCAGTATATCGAACTGTGTTCGGGTGCTATGTCCTAGTAATAATTTTGCCGGGGTCTGGCGCGTTGTCGAGTGCGGTGTGTTTCGATAAAATAACAGGAACTTCTGTAATAGTGTCGCGCTGGTGGTTTGGTTTTTCTTAAAAAAATTTTTTATTATTTTAACCCCTGATTCGGCTGCCCCGTTTGTTTCCGGGTGAAACGGAGCTCCCACCAAGTGTTTTATGTTTCCGTTGACGCAGAACGTACCGAATTCCGTACCTGTGAAACACTTGGCTTCATCGGTGGTAATGGACTTGGGGACACCGAAACGAGCAAAAAGTTCTTGCATTTTTCCGATTACCACTGACGCCGTACTCGTGCTTACCTCGAACACTTCGAGCCATTTTGAAGTCGCGTCGACTACTATTAAAAAATTTTTATTTTTGTAAGGCCCTAAGAAGTCTACGTGTATGCGCGTCCACACTTGTTCCGGCCACTTCCATGGCGTTTGCACCGCTTTTGGTGGTGCGGGTCTAACCTGTATACAATTTTCGCATTTGCGCGCCTTGTTTTCAATATCATTATCGATCCCCGGCCACCAAAAATATGAACGCGCGATCGCCTTCATGCAGCTCATTCCCGCGTGCGTGGAGTGCAATTCTGTCAACAGGGCCTCCCTGAACTTACTTGGCATAATCACCCTGTACCCCCACATCAAGCAGTCCTGTTCGGTTGAAATTTCGTGGCGCCGCGTGTAATATGACTTAAGCGATTCATTTTTATCCGCGCCTGTTGGCCAATCGCCTGTGTTGATAGCCTTAATTACCTGCGATAAGATTTTTTCGGTTCGTGTTTGTGTTTTTATTTTGACCCAATTAACGTTGAACGGACAGTTGTCGTATATAAAGTTTAGACACTGCGGCGCCGTAGACACTCTGTCTGCTGTGCCTATTCTTATGCGCGATAAGAAATCCGCTGCGTTCTTCCCTGATTTAACAAACGAAATGTCAAAGTCGAATGCTGTTAGTACGTACGCCCACCTCTGTATTCTATTAGCCGCGTAAATTGGTATACCTTTCTTTTCCCCGAAAATGTGGTAGAGTGGTTTATGGTCAGTGATTAAAGTAAATTTTCGTGCGTACAAGTAGTCGTAGAATTTTTGAACGCCGTATATTATCGCTAACCCCTCTTTTTCAATTTGCGGGTATTTGCGTTCCGCTTCTGATAAGACGCGCGATGCATAGGCTACTGGTTTTTCGGCGTTGCCGTATACCTGTGATATAACCGCGCCGATAGCGAATGATGACGCGTCTACCATTAATTTAATTGGTACCGACGGGTCGTAGTGGTCGAGTACTGGTTTGGACGATAATATCGATTTAATGTTATCAAACGCCTCGTCCGCTTCTTTGGACCATGTCCATTTTGCCCCCATTTTTAAAAGGTCGTACAACGGTTTAAGTATCTGTGTCGCATTTTTCACGAACTTAGTGTATTATGTTACCAACCCTAGAAAACTTTTTAATTCTGACCTGTCTTGGGGCGCCGCTGCCTCCTTAATCACGGTTGTGTGTTTGTCTAATGTATGCAAACCCTGTCCGTCTATTTTATGACCTAAATATTCTACTTCCGTCTGCATAAAGGTACACTTACGCTCTCTTACTCTCAGCCCTGCTGAGCCGAGTGCTTTTAGAAGTTGTTCCAAACGTATGTTATGTTCGGGCATCTTCCTACCTGATACTATTATATCGTCAATGAATACTTCGACCCCCTCCACCTTTTTTGTGATACTTTCGATCGCTTTCTGAAATTCGCTCGCCGATGATTTCAGTCCAAACGGAACGCGCGTGTACCTGAATAAACCTCTAATCGTGTTTATTGTCTTTAATGCGCGTGAACTATCGTCGAGTACCAACTGCTGATAGGCATCTTTCAAGTCTATTTTTGAAAAGTATTTCGCTCCCGCTATTCTGGCGTAGAGGTGTTCGATTTTTGGTAGGGGATATTCTGTGCTGACTAATACGGGGTTTACGGTTATTTTAAAATCTCCGCATAACCTGACGCTACCGTCCTCTTTCAAAATTGGAACTACGGGAGTTGCCCACTCGCTGTGGTCGACCGGTATCAGGGCGTTGATGGTCAACAATCGATCTATTTCAGCCACAACTTTTGTTCTTAGCGCTAGGGGCACTGGTCGGTGTTTAAAGAATTTTGGTGTGGTCCCCGGCCTCGTTGTAAGGGATATTTTGTACCCCTTAAATGTCCCTAGCTCTTCGCTGAATACGTTAGGATACTTATTTAAAATTGTTTTAACGCTATCCTCTGCACCGGTGAATTTACACTCAAACACGTTTTTAATACTTAGCGTTGCTAGATCGTTCCTACCGAGTATTGGTGGTCCTCCGTTTGGCACTATATATACCCATATTCCGGTTGTTCTATTATTGTACATGACCTTGAGCGCTACCTTACCTATCGGTGTAATTATATTACCAACGTAATCCGATAACTCTACGTCGTTAGTTACGATTACCTTTGGACCTATTATCGCTTTAAACGTCGACTCGGAAATGATACTATGCACCGAACCGGTATCGATTTCGAACGATATTGGCTTACCTCCGATGACTAACTCTACGCTGTACGGAGCTACTTTAAGCTTATCTCGGGAAATGTCGTTAATTGCAAAAAAAGAATCAATTAATTCTACGCTGGTTTCGTGATCGCCTGACCGCTCATTTTCTGACAAAAACTTATTTTGCGACTTGTGCTTAGTACCTTTATTTTTGCACATGGGTGCCAAATGACCCACTACCCCGCATATATTACATGAATAATTTTTGAACCTGCATAGTCCGGTGTCGTGGTTGGAACGGCCGCATACTTGACACTTCTCCTTCCCGTTGGTTTGTCCTCGTCCGCTCGTCCTCTTTGGCGTCGTCTGTGTTGGAGACCCTTCCTGCTTGGTGAAATGGAACGCCCCAGTCGTGTCTTTCGACCACTCTTTGCTTGCGTTGATGTTGGCCTCTCTGGTGATTGCCACTTCCATCAATTTTACTAAGGTGGTTGATGCTGCTGACGCGTCCTCTTCCAGTAACCGGTCTTGGATCTTTCCGTAACCCATTCCAATGACAAATATGTCCCTCACTACTATCTCCAGCTCTGGCCCGAAACCGCATTTTGAAGCAAGGTCGCGTACGCGGGCACCCCACTGGGACACACTTTCGTCGTGGTTCTTACGAGCCAAGTAAAACTGGTGGCGGGCGGCGAAATACGACTTTTTCGGCTCATAGTGTTTTTGCAGTATGTCCGATAACGACTCGAAAGTCTTATTATCGGGGTCCTCTGGTAAACACAAACTGAACAGGGTTTTATGCGCTTCCTCTGATATCGAGGTTAGCAAAATTGCCCTCTTCTTACCTTCTTGAGTGATTCCGTTCGCGGCAAAAAAATTTTTTAGCCGGGCGAAATATATTTTTACGTTCGTGTCCTGGTCGAAAATTCCCGGACTGCCGATTACTTGCGAGTAGAGAGTTCTTACGGCCGGCGGCTCGTTATTTGGTTGTGTCATGATTAACGTCCAATTGTATATACCAAATATATAGAATGTGCTATATATGTACGAGTGACAAACGGTGAATATAAACGTTGTCGCCAAATCTTCGTCGCCACTTGTTGTATTCTAGTATTCTACTATTAGTAATAAACTACACAAATTGGTACGGTGTTAAAGACGTATATTGTATTTTATTGTGAAACCGTAACGTCCACTGGCGTGTGCGTGCCGATCGGCGTCGTACGCGGCGGACAGTCCCCACCGCGTATATTATTATATAATATATTATAATTATTCTATTGCAGACGGTGCTGTATCGATATACGATATACAACAAAAACTAAAGTATTTCTCAAGTAAATCTAAAACCAAATTTTCTTGTAATAATGATATTCTCTTAAATGTTAATAATGATAGTATTTTAAATAGAATTGTTTCTACTCTTTCGGGTTATTATCAAAATGTCCGTGGACTTAAATCTAAATTATCTAATATTTGTCTTAATTATATTTCTTTAAATCATTATGATTATTTTATACTAACGGAGACTTTGCATACGAATGACATTAAAAGTAAAGAATTAGGTATGGATAGTTACATTATTTATCGCAATGATCGTAATTATTTAAATAGTATTTAGTCAAGTGGTGTGGGAGTTCTTATTGCTAATTGCTATACACAATCGTTTCTGTTCTTTTGAAATTACTTTACCAGATCCTACTAAATACTAAATATAATACCAGATAAACAAAATGCGAAATGAACAGTTTAAAGTTTTGAGCTAATAATTTACACAGATAATCCTTTTAGTGCAATTTTTTTGTGATCTAGTGTGTTTTTAAAATAAAGATATATTGTATATAATATTTATAGTTGTATATTACTGAAGAATGATGGCTGTTGTTTGACAAAGTTTATTCATTGAAAGATATCAGAATTTTTGTATAGTTTAAATGTTTCATCATTAGATGATATTTTTGCCACAAAATTGTTCATTTTCATTTTCTTTTAATAAGTCATACTAACGTTAACACTTCTCTATTGCTTGACCTACCTTCACACAATGCTGTTGATTGATATTGTTATAGAATTTTCATTTTAACTCTATTATTTGGTTCATTTATACCAGAATCAATATAAATAACTCAATGTATCATAAAATTGTGAATAAATTATAATAAATAAAACAATATATATTAATTGATATTCATAGCCCTTCTTTTTACACAAGTTTCATATCTACATTAAGGTATACTGAGGGTACAGCTGTAACTAAACTCTACGTTTAAGCAATTCTAAATTCTATGTCTATAATAATAACACATACTAATGTCATGTAAATTGCTTTAATTATGATTATTAAATTGATAACTAACTTATATAAACATAAAGAAAACAATACCTAATAATATGTATTATAAACTCGGTACCTACTATATTGTATAATTGTCTTCATATATTTGCATGTATATTAGTGTGTATACCAGAAGTAATAATCTTTTCTTTTTTAACAAAATATATCCGAAAAGGTAGTGTTATTACCTTTCATATTATATAGGTATACTATATACATACATATAGTGGTACACATTGAGACAAAAATCGTATTATTGTATGTCATTAAAGATAGGAGAGTGGTAGATCATTTCTAACTTTACTAAACGAATCAGGAAGTAGTGGGCTCATTATAGCATATTATATCATTATTCAAAACTATTTAAACCATAAAAAATTATTTTTTTTTAAAGTAAAAAGTGCCTTATTGTAGACCACCCATGGTCCACAATGAGACGTATGTTATTCTTGATATAAAATAAAAAAAGTACATGAAAAAACTAATTTAACTTTCTTAAATTTTGGTTTTTTACCTACCAAACATCATAAAATGCAAATATATTACATAGATGAAGGTATACTATATATTATATACCTATATAATATAATTATATACATCCAGTATATACCACATGAACAACTTATATAAATCAAATAAAAACAAAGAAATAGGTATAGTTAATATTCTTATTTTAATTTAAATTATTAAATTAATACATAGTCTTACTATGATTTTGATTATAAATTTAAATTATAATAGGTATATGCAACATTAAAAATTAACAATTAGGAACATAAGACTAATATTTGTTATTCAGTCTTACTTTGACTATGATCATAAATTTAATTATAATATGTGGCAACTTAAAAAATTAATAATTGTCTGAACTTATATAGGTTAAATAAGTACTTATATATTATATTAATATAGATATAAACACCATACCTAAACAACTTATGGCAGACAAATTATATTTTTTTTCTCATTACCTATTATTGAAAGAAATATGTCAGTTTTACTTTGATTATGACTAAATTTAAATTATAAATATGTAGGTAAAAATTAGTTTATTAGTTTTTTGTTTAAAGGATCGTCTCATTTCGACTAAATCAAAAATTAAATTAAGTAAAATATAATTGTTGCACAACATAACTAACATTCTAAAGCAATGAGATATGTGTCTCACTGTAGACCAAACATTTTGTCTTATTGAAGACCATTTGATATTTTTACATTCTCATGACAACAACATATACTAACGTTAACATAGGGATTTGTTTAAAACATATTTAAGAAATAGACAAGTTACCAAGTTAGAATATATAATTGATTTGTTTTTACATATTTATTAATTATACAAAAACAGTAATCAAATATATGTCATATGAACAATTCACTTCACATTATCAAAAACCAATTAGTATCATTATTTCGGACTGTTATCGTCAGACGCCAATGAAAATACATTTATTCGCTGGAGGTAACAGTTTAAAGAATAACTTCCAAATATCAAGCGTTATCTTTTAACAACAACAAAATTATTTCACTTATCTCATTGATGAACATGTCTCACTGCAGACCACTCTCATCTATATGTTTCTTTTTTTTTAAATTCAATCAATTACATTATATTACTTTGAATTTTTGGTTTTTTTCTCGAGAGTCACAAGGTTATAATATAGAATAGCTACTCGGTCTCACCATTAGTTACTCAGGTTGGTTGTTACTAGTTAGATATTCAATTGTACAATAGAAGTGAAGTTAAAAGTTTGTCGACGTTGTTCGAATCAGTCTGTATTTACAGCCACAGATAATATACCATCAAACACCCAATTACATGTTAATGTAAATAAGGGCAAATAAGGTGAGTAGGTCAGTCAATGCTGTTAAAACATAATATTATATTGCATTGATGCTATATTTTGTATATCAATCACCATATAAAGGTAGTACATTGGTCATTTAAACACACAAATATAACAATTCTAAATTCTGTGTCTGTAAAACACATACTAATGTCATGTAAATTGTTTTAATTATGATTGTTAAATCAAATTAATAAATTGATTACTGCCATTCCGACCTGTATGTTTCGATTTTCATTACTCTTTATACTAACTTTAACTGAATTCACTCAAACAGAGTTTATAATAATTAAAGCATAATATATATTTTAGGCTGACTGATGTAGACTATAAATCCAGGATAATACTGAATTGTATAATGTACATTCAATGAGCAACGTTCAACTGTTCTTATGTTGTTTAATGTATGCTCTGTTATGTGATTCACTTACACTTAAATAAACATAAAGAAAACAATACCTAATAATATGTATACTAAAATCATGGTACCTACCTACTATATTGTATAGGTAATTGTCTTTATGTATTTGTATATATTAGTGTATACCTGTAGCAATAACATTTTTTTACAAAATATATCTGAAATCCAAAACACAATTCTAAATTCTATGTCTGCATAACTAACCCATGCGTATCTATGTCATGTAAATGTATTTAAATATCAAATTAATACATAGAAATTGACATACAAATCTAATTTTTTTTTTTAACAAATTGTTTATTTTCATTCTCATTTAATAAGTTATACTAACATTGACACTAATATATTGCTTGGCGTACACGTAGTAAAGTTGTAATCCATTATCCAGATAATTGTGAAATCAGAATTAACCAGTATCGTTAAGTAAAGACCTATTCAAGGAGGCTTTACATTGTGAATCGATTGTTGTTTTGAATTTTAATTGTCCCTAACAGTGCAGCGAGCGAGTGACCGCACGGGCATAAGTATTATGTCCTTTTATAAGTTTTGGAAATTCTCATTTACAGCTGCCCACCACCTTGTCCGCATACCTAACGTGCTGGCCCAGATTGCCTGCCTAGATGACTAAGTTGAACGTCAATCGATTTTCACTGGACGTGACTGACTAGCTAGACACTCAAATATGGCTCTTATATATACACTTTGTGTTTCGACATTCGTAAGAGTGGACCGTATCGACCATCAATCCCGTTCAATCGCAGATTTCTAAATTTTCAAACTTCCCGCCTTCGAAACGACACCTCCAAAGCGCCTTATCACAAATCCTTATCACCTTTGTTCAATTCTGTGCTTTGAGTTTCAACCACCAGCTACGGACGTAACTTTTATAATTGCAACGACTCAGTCTCCGTGGACCGAAATCCACTTAAAGCCCACTCGGGGGATCTAGGAGTCACTATCAGGGAGCTAGTATTATAATAAAAAATATTAGGTCAGAGATCTTATTCTAAAGCCGTGTTTTTTACACGGATAACGAATCACTAATTTTACGAAACACTTGTTCATTTCCATCATGGCGGCTCTAACTATTGATAACTATAGATTATAATAATATAATTTATCAAATAGGTATTTAGGTATCACACATTCGTTCATACGTCTTATTATACACGATACATTTATATACTTATTATACTTATTATTATTTATTATAACTATAAAAATATTTAGTCTTCTGTCTTCGTCTCACTACAATACTAATTGTACAATCTTACATACTACGAATCTATACTCACTTCTATTGTCTATTTGTCTATAACGCATCATTAATTTATTTTGTCTATCATTAATGCAACTTGCTACAAGTTACAACACTGTGTTGTGAAATTAAATATACTTTTTTAATCTTTTTGGTGAGATAACATAACAATAAAAGTTTTATACTAAACACTGAACATTTTGTTTATAATAATTCGTTGACTGTGTCGTATTCCTCGTATTCTATTTGAAAGAAGCTATAAACTTAGTAGTAATTAAACTTCAAGTGTCATTGCAAGATTTATTAGGTAATACGTATTAATAAAAATGGACAGCTTTTATGGAAATTCATATCAAAGCAATGGAGGCGAAAAAGATTTTCAGAAATTGGCTCAATTGATTGGCACTAATATCCAGAAAATATCACAAAATGGTAAGAGTATATTCATTGTATTTAGGAGGTCCCTAGCCTAGAAATGTATTAATACATTTAATTTTTCAGATTATGTTCTATGCTTTTATGACATTTTTCTTCATACTAACTTTAAGTAGAAAATACCTTATACCTAGGTTAATGTATACATGTTTTAGTTATTTCATTTGAGGTACCTACAAACAATTATCTGAATTACTATGTCATTAAAATGATTATATTACTGCTTTATGTGGAATTATAAAGAAATATTTGTTCAATAAATACCAAGATAACACATCAATGTTTCATTAAAAAAATTCTTGTTAATCACACGAACCAGTAAAATACTGTATTATTTTTTTGCACAATCTGTACAGTAATGGTTCTAGCATACAGGCAGGGTGGACAACTGTATAGACAAATTTATGGTGCCCTTTATTAAAAAATTAAAAAATATATCTACTGCCAATATTATTAAGTATTTTTGGATGCAATTAACATAATTATTTTACCATGCAAATATGGCGAGGAGGGGGGACATTTTATTTGCAGTTAAGACCTAATTATGAATGTACTATTGCCCGTACAAAAATTTGGTCCTAGAACTGCACTTGTGTCTGTATTTTAGTGAATTATTTTAGCATTATTTATATTATTTGACGACACTCTTTAAAAAGCTATATACGAATCTGTACAAATTCTATTTCAAATGGAATATTTAAACTTTAATTTTTGTACTATAATAGGTATTATAATTTATAAATGCCAAATGTTGATTATAATGTTTGATATTGTTTTAGAAATTCTAGTTAAATATTTAGAAGGATACATTTTAAGTAAGATATTAATTTTTTCATTTTGTTTTAGTTTCGTCTATGAATAGAATGGTAAACCAATTAAATACAGTCCAGGATGCTACAGAAGTTAGAAAACAATTGTAAGTTAACTAAATATAATTTAGCATCATAAATAATTCATTTAAGTATTTAATTTAAACATCTAAACAATTTCAGGCATCAAATATCACATTACACTCAACAGCTATCTAAAGATACTAGTCATAATTTAAAGGAACTGAGTGAAATTCGATCATATTCTTCTCAAACAGATCAAGTATGTTTAAGTTAAGTTTAATTTGTATCTTATCTAATGAATAACTAATTTTATTAGAGACAATTGAAAATTCAAAAAGAACGTTTAGCCGAATCGTTTACATCTGCTTTAAACGCATTTCAAGCCATTCAACGCAAAGCATACGATAAAGAAAATGCAGAGCTAATGAAACGTACAAAAGCATCTTCTTCTACTGGAAGATTACCTCCTCCACCTGGTTCTAAATATCAAAATGGTCTGATTTTAATTAATTATTCTCTCTTATAACTTTAGAATAAGTGTATAACTTGTATGTTATATTATATATTAGGTTATTCAAACCCAAATGAAAACCAAAATGATCAAGCTCAGTTACAAATTTTGGATGAGGTAAATTTACAAGTGGTTGAACAAGAACAAGCTATAAGACAACTTGAGGTTGGTGCTAATAATATTGTAAACTATTTACTTAAAATGTTGATAAAAAAAATTACTTATAATTTAGAATGACATAAGTGACGTAAATCAAATTTTTAAAGAACTTGGTACTTTAGTTCATAACCAAGGTGAAATAATTGATAGTATTGAAGCTAATGTACAGATTACTAATGTATCAGTTCAAGAAGCAACTGGTCAACTGAGACGAGCAACTGATTACACTGTAAGTAAATAAATATCCTAGAATTTACCTGTAAATAAATTTTTTAATTTTATTATTTTTTAGAACAAGCTCAGAAAAAAAAGGTTCTATTTATTAGTTATTTGTGCTGTGATATTAATCATAATTACATTGACTATTGTTTGGGGTTCTAAATAAATGTGTTTGTGTTAGTTATACTTAAAATATTGTATTTCAGTTATTCCATTTTGTTAATCTATATATAAAAAAAAAAGGAATATTATATATATTTATAACATCTATATATGTGTCTAAAGTTTGAACTGTTTAAAGTTTTTTTTTTTATATAATATATATGTTATTCATAATAGTAAAAAAATTACAGTTTATTAAATATTAGATGTACTTACAAAGCTGCTTATTTAATATGTTTTTTAGTTATCTTAATTTTTAATTTTATATTATTATTATTGTTATATTAATATTTGCATATATTATATATATATATTAGTATATTACTATTATATAATATATATACATATATATAGAAAGTTTATGTAATGTACATCATAGGTATGACCAAACCTTTACAGCATGAAATGTTCAAAAATGGTGTTAAAATTAATATAGTAACAATAGAAGTAGACGCCCAAAGTACTGATAATTCTTATGATAAAATATCACGTCATAACACTTCAATGAAAAAATATTTTACACATATTTTAATTAAACTTTTAGGATTTAAATCTATTGTCATTGCATAAAAAAAAATGAATTATTGCTTTATTATACCCATTGACACCGATAAACTCGCCTATGATGTACATATTATGTTTAGTTCAAGTAACATACCTATCAATTTTAGAACTTTAAATAGTAATAATTTAATAAAACATATAATTTTGTAATTATAATATGCTGAATTTTAAATTATACCATTTTATTTATTACCTATTTTTTTTTTTCATTACAAAACAATTTACATATTTTCATGATACTGAAGTCTCGTAATTATTCTTACTTCAGGCACTTGAAAAAAAAAACTGTGAGTATATATTATTAATATTTTCATTTACTGTAAATACAATCTATGAGAAACCTTGAATTACGTTTTTAAACTATTTTACTTACAAAAATAAGTGTGATATTAAATAACTGAAAAAGAGCAAAATTATAACATGTCTAGAGCAGTATATTATCAGTAAAGACAGGATTTTGCTATTTTCAACATCATATACATGCAGTCAATGAGTGTCCACAAATCATTACTTGATTGATTAAATATCAAAATTTTATACTGCATATTCTGACGTTAGTGCATGTTCTGCATATTTTTCATATTTAAAAAAAAAACCGAACAAATATACACCCAACGATCTAAAAAGGTGCTGAGCAAAAAAAATTGACTACAGGTAAGTTAAATAATATTAATATCAAATAATAGGTTAGGTTAGGAAACAAATTCTGATATATATATTTTGAAATTGTCCTAGATTATTCTGATGCACTGTAGAAATGTAAAACCTAAACCTATGGACTACACAAGTTCATCAGATTCTTTGCTCATTTTTATAAAATGTTGAATAATTATATTTTATGATTTTTTGAGTAAAAAAAAAAAGCACTTTTGTACAATAATATTGTAAAATAAAAAATATTTTTCAAATTATGACTCAATTTTCAGGGAACTAAATAATGAGTTTATGTTGGTACCCAAAATCCATTATATCGTGATTGGTAGACCTGTTTTACTTATCACGATTAACCAATTCGCTGAAAATTAAAATTGATAACAACGTACCGCGCCATGTGTTTTTCTTTAATCATTCCTTTCATTTTTTTCGCGGAAACTTTATTTCCATGCGACTTTTGTTATTGATTTACAATTAATAAGTTTATAGAAGCTTTTTGATTGAATAATTAAAATGTTTGTGGGAATCAATGAAGTGGAGCGTATTTTGACGCGCTTATTAGAGCCGGATAATGAAGTTATAACGCAGGTAAATGTCTCAGTACAAAATGGTATGATATTTGAAAATATTAAATTATTAAATTGTTAATATTAATATAGGCCACTAATGAATTAACATTGGCTTTAAAAAATCCTCAAACATACGTCACTTTATGCACAGTGATAAGTTCTAGTAAAAATGACCGACTAAAGGAATATGCAGCTCTTGTATTAAGAAAAAAATTTGCCAAACGTAATGTATGGATGAATTTGTCGCTAGAACTTCGTGAACAGTAAGTTAAATTCTTATCTATAGTTTGTTATTATATTATGCATTTTAGTACATAAATATTTATACATTGTAGAATAAAGCAATTTTTGCTTAAAGCCACTATTGATGAACCTAGTTTCGAAGTTAAAAAGCATATTCTTCAACTGGTTGCTGTGTTGGCTAAGCATGAACAGATGAGAGGTGAATGGAGAGAGTTATTTTGTTTTATTGAGGCATTTATCGAGAGCAGCATTGTTAATGAAAGAGAGGTACTTATTCTAAAAAATTGTAAAACAACCATTATGTTTACACATTTAAAATTAATTATTGTTTTATTTTACGCTTTTACAGTTTGGTTCATTTATAATAAAAAATTTAACTGATTACATTCCTCAAATGTTTGAGTCTCGTATAACACAATATGTCAATTATTTTATTATAATGCTGACCGGTACTGAAGATTGTACTTCCACTGTTGTTTATAATACTATTTCTTCAATGAATAATATTTTAGAATTAGCTATTCAAGTTCCACAGGTATTCAAATTAATTGAATAACTAGTGACAATATCTTAAAGAAAAATGTATTTTAGATTGCTCAAGCATATTCTGAAGCTGTACCTCGTGTGTTAGAAGCCATACTTGCTTTGTCAACAACAAATCCTGAACATGCTTGTGATTGTTATGAATTTCTTGGGTCAATGTGCGAATTTTCTATTCAGGCATTAATTCCACATTTAAAACCAATTGTTCAAGTGTCTGCACAATTGGCTGGTAACAAAAATATAGACGAAACTTTAAGATGTAATGGTATCAATTTAATATCCACTATTATCCGTAGTAAGAAGAAGGTAAATTAATTTCTTTATCAATTGTAAAATTAATTAATATTTTAATTGTTACAATTTCAAATAATTATCAAATATTTACTTTATCATTTTTCTTTAAAATAATATTTTCCATAATATCACAATAATGTAATCACGTAAATTCAAACCTGGGCATAAACGAGTTAAAAAGTTAAATATAAAGTTAATTTTGACTTTTTAACTTAACTTATTTTTATTGATATAAACTTATTAAATAACAAGTTACTTTTAGTCAAATTCAAGTTACATTAGTTTACAAATAATTTAATAATAAATATAATAACATTATTACTGATTAATATTGCATAAACATTTACTTTTTACTATTTTAAATCATATAACAATCTATTTATATATTAAGAAAAAAATTACTAGTTAATTTTAAGTTTCCATAAACTTTAAACTCAATTAAAAAAATATCAATAGCTTACCCAGGCTTGCTTAAATTCAATTAGGTACTCAACTTAAATTTTGATGTTCATAGTTGATTAGTTTGTTATATATTTAAGTGTGTTCATGATTAGCTTTTATTTAAAATACTAAAATGTATTAAAATATGTATTTTGGTTATTATTTTATAGGTTTTAGTAAAATTGAATTTATTGAATCCTGTAATTGAATTAATGTTCAATATTTTAAGTGAAGAAACTGACGATGACACTTGGTTCTTAGAAGAGTATGCTTTAAGCCCAATGAGTGCTGCGGGTGATTGCATGGCAGCAATTGCTGATGAATTGTCTGCTTCCACTTTTATGCCAATAATGGTAAGTTTTATTAGTAAGAGTCATAAAACCAACTAAGACAGACTTTGATTACCCTTGTAATTAATTAATAATTCAAAAAACTGGATAACTACAAAGATTTACAACTTAAAAGGATCTTTCTATTAAATTATTGAGTTTTAGCTATTAATATTATTATCATTTTAATTACAAAATTATTTGTAAATTTGAAATTCTGATGCTTTAAAAAAAAAAAATGTTTGGTTTATACAAAAAACATATCTTTATCTTTCGCTTTGCCCAGAATATTAGATTTCAAGATTTTAGGTTATTTGAAGATATGTATGTTGTTGTGAAGAAGAGATAGATGGTTTTAAAGAAAAATTTACAATTAAGCTTATATCAAATGATATACATACATATTTTTGTATCATTTTACTATTGTTAAACATTTCATTTATATCATATCCTTATAGTATTGTTACTGTTTTACTAGTTATTGGAGCTACTGTTTTTTTTTTATTCTATTAAAATTCAGTACAAATAAAAACAAAAAATTGAATAGTTAAACATTGACATAATATAATATTCAATTATAATTTGTTTTATCATATTGCATTTAGATAAAATTGATTGATGCAGCATATACTACTCAAGACCCTAATGCACTCAAAGCATCTTATACAACAATGGCTTTTGTATCAGATGGATGTTCGGAATACCTGAAAAAAAGTTATCTGAAACAGTTTGTAACAGCCATTAAAATGGGATTAAATAGTTCGAATGAAACAGTTAAATCTGCAGCTATGTATGCTTTAGGAGAAGTTTCTCAATATGTTCAAGTTAGTATATTTAAATTTTTATTTGATCAAGTCAATATTAATAATTTTGTAATTATGTAATTTAGCCTCAAGTTAGTACGTATGCCGCAGAAATACTACCAGAGCTAATGAAAATGTTTAAAGAAAAGTTAATTATTGAATATACTAAGCCAGAATGTAGTTCTGAAGTCCGTATGATTTTTTTTGCACTTGATAAATTTATTGATAGCATGGAAAGTGGAGTAGACGAATATTTACCAGAAATGACTAGTATTGTAATGGATATCATAAAAAATGAAGAGTGTTGTATTGAACTTAAAGACAAAGCAATTACTATCATGTGTAGCATCGGTATACTTATTTTTATTTTAAAACAAATTAGTTTCAATATGTATTAAATATTCACACAAAAAAATGTTTGTATTTAGTTAAGTCTGGAGGTGATGCTACAGCCCCTTACTTTATCCCAGTCATGGAAATTCTTGAAGCTTATTTAAAACCCGGAATAGATGAAAAATTGGAAACTTTACAGATTATGGTCATTCGTTAGTAGTATTAAATATATATATATTTAATTTAATAGTTAATAATATATTTAAAATTATTGTTTTATTATAATTTAGAATTACTATCTGAATTTGCGGTAGCTCTTGATCCAAAAGTATTTGAACCTTATTTGGATATTAGTTTAAAATGTGGTTTGGCTTTATTGCAAGAAGCAAAGGAGGACCAACCTGAGGTCCGAGCAGTATGTTATGGGCTTTTTAGTTCTATAGCTAGAGTATCTATTAATCATTTGATACCATATATTGATCTTGTAATGCAACATGTTTTGAAAAGTTTGGACAATAGCTTAATTGCTGATAATAGTTTTAACCTGGAGGTATAAAACACATTTATTTATTAAAGAAAGCAATCAGATATTTTTCATATAAATGTTTTTAAATTTTCAGAAAAAAAAATATAATGCTTATAGTAGCGATGATGATGAAGATGATAAAGATGAATCTTTAACAACGGAAGACGATGGCAGTAACGATGCTAATAGTGATGATTGTAAGTAATTGATCTATTTTTTTATTAATTTTTGTATTTATAGGTTAATTAATCATGAATTTTATGTCAGTTGTTTATGTTGATGCACATGTAATGGAAGAAAAAGATAATGCTTGTCAAACAATTGCTCAAATTGCTCAAAGCACTGGGTATTTATTTTTTATAAAATATATTATGTCAATATAATTCATTATTCTATTTTACTTTGTAATCTTATCTATTTATGTTTAAATCAGAGATCAATTTCTTCCCTATTTAAATAATAGCTTTGATGTAGTATCAAAGTTATTACAAGAAGATGATGAAGACACAATTGATTCTGTACTTGAATTATATGGACAAATTTGTATATATTTTTCAAAGTTACCTGATAATTGTGGGCAAGAATGTAAGTTTGTTTTCGAATTAAATATCCTTAAAATCTGTTTAGCAATGAATTGATCAAAATATATATTATTCAGCTATTGTGGGTTAAAATATAAGTAATAATTAATAACTAATAAGTATTTGATATTTTAATTTTGATTCTTTATTAATCTATTATCATACAATCGATAATTAATTAATATGTTTACAAATAAGTGTAACACCAAGAATTTGTTAACACGTTTACCTCTGCTACTTCAGGCCACCATCGATCCGTGATCGTCACTAATGCATATTGGTAATACACTTCTATAATAATTCAACCATAGAGACACTGCTTTTTTGTTTATTAGGCCATTTAGAACATATTAATAGACAATTTTTGTGTCCCACTTTTTTTTTATACACTTTAAAAGTCCCCCGCGTATGTTACCCGTAGATGTGCGGTGTGTGACACCAGATTAGAAATAGAGGTGTGGAGGTAAACTTGGTAATTTAATTTGAAAGTATATTCAATTTTTTAAAAATGGTGTAGGTGTTGTTTTTTTACTCACATTTGAATAATTTCTAATTGAATATTAGCTATGAGTAAAGCTCAGATGTTTATGACTGCATATTTTTTTTTTTGCCTACTAGAATTATATCCAAGTATGATATTAATTTGATTCAAAAATTATAGATTACACATATGCAAACTCATTTTGTATATTTTTATATTTTTGATATTTTAAGGCATATAAATGCATGTATTGATTACTTCTAGGTTAAGTGACATATATTTAATTAATTATAAGTATAATATTTTAAATGGTCTCTATTATAATCAATTGTAGTGTGTATGGGTAAGATCCGCAGAATAAAAATTTTTATACAGTGTAATCCTGATAGGTACATTACAGTGCTTGGCCTATTTAAAGTTCTTAACATCTCCTAAAATAATACATTTTTTATCAGGTTTTTGTTAGACCTCTACTATTTTATAAGTACCTAACTATATATAAAAACAAAATGGACATTTTTAGTGCCTTCTTTATAATAAGTTTTTCAATATTATAACAATTATGGTAGTGAAATATAATTACTATTTATCTATTTAGCTTTAGAAAAAGCTTTGGAAAATTATTTGAAATATGGAGAGAAAAAAATACAAGAAGATGGATTTCCTGCTTTAGACTCAATATACCTAGATGTATTAGCTGATATGTTGAAAGAAATCAAAACTAAAATGATTAAATATGCTGAACCAATTATGGTACTTGCTAAATCTATATTAGCATTAAAAGTAAGAAAAAAATTAATTTTTAAATGTTTTTACTTTAAATAAATATCATGTAAATGTATGTTAATTACAAGTATATACTAATTGTACTCAGTAAAAGCTTAAATACGTTTTTATTGGAGCATTTATTGAAAACATTTTGTACAAGCTTAAAGTTTTATTTTTACTAAAAATTACAATTTTATAAAGTTATATATTTAATTATACTATACATGTTTTGTTGTAGTATAATTCTTTTGTTATTTAAGAGAGGTTTACTGTCTTAGCACCTATTTATTTACTGCATAGTATATTTGATTAATTGGAGGCTACCCATAAGTTTGTTGTCTCTTTCCATACAGACGTATGACAGCAAATTTTCATTCATTAGTTTCAATAGCATGCTGTTAGTTTTGATATTACAGTGAAATGACAATATTATCAAACTTTTAAATAAAATCATCATCTGTTCCTAATCGTCAGCAATTTTTTTGGTATTATAATCTTAAAAATATTATTTAAATATTATAAATTTAAAATGCTCTTATTTTGCTTGTAAATTAAAGTATCAAATAAAAGTCAACATTTTCCATGTTGAACATGTGTAAGATGGAAACAACAAATGCATGAGGTAGCGTCCTCTTAAACAGGAGTTCTCAACCTTTGTATATTGGCGACCCAATAAATTAACTCAATTTTTCATATAACCTTTTTGAAAATAATGTTAATGGGGTTCAATAAGAGCTACCCTCCCAATTCTTTCACCTTGATATTTTCAACTACCATAAAAGAAACTCTATTAATCTTGATCATTAATTTTTTTTTTTTTAACTTGTGAGATATTTTTGATCATTATATTTTTAATATCTAATTTTTTGAGACCCTTTAGTAGAAAACTGCTGCTCTTTTGGATCCAATAATTACATGTACGTCAATAAATAAATGTATAATTTTATCATAAAATACCTCTTAGTTTTTAATTCTTAGTACAAATTTATTTTAGTTTTATGTTATGGATCAAACAACTTTAATTGTCATGATTTGTATACCCTAGCTTATTGAAGTAATTTTAATGTAGCTCTGAATAATATTATGCTTTTCAGCTTTTACTCAGTATGATTTTTAAATCCAAGCATTAACTAGTAAAACGTAGCATTGTGTATTGTTTAAGCTTTTTTTATCATGAAGTATGTACAAAAATATATTTGCTTTATTTCAGATTGGTGATGTAAATAATCCCGGTGAGTTGGATGAACTAGATAGTGAAAACGATACATTACCTATAGAATATGCAGGCAATGTTGTTTCAAATTTAAGTTATGTTCTTCCACCACAAGTTTTTACAGAGTATTTTATTTCGTTGGTGCCCTTGTTGAAAAAATTAATGGTAAATTTAGTAATCTATAATTTTGTCTAGTGGGTATAAATGCAAAAAAATAATTTTTTTTTAGTCAAAAGAATCATCTGATTTATTACGAGCTGCTGGATTAGCTATAACTGGGGAATCTGTAAAAGGCTTAGGAGAAAATGCTGGTGGTTTGTGTGAAGTTATGTTTTCACTTGTAATACCACTTGTTGAAGATGAAGATGATACTGTGAGGAATAATGCTGTATTTGCATTAGGAGAAATTGCATTTTATGGCAAAGAATCTGTTTACAAGTTAGTATTTAAATGTAGTTATGCTATATTTATTTTTAACCTGGGAGGAGTAAGATTGGTGTTTTCTTTACTATTTTCTGGTTTAACTTGCACGTTTTAAAATATTCAAAGTATTTAAACAATTAACTTACATTTTTTTCATTCTGTCTACTTAAATAATGTTGTAATACCTTTGAAATTCATTATCAAAAATATTTATCTATCCTTGATCAATAATAAAAGGCTATGAAAGATGTTTTATTATTCATTTTTACTATTAATACTATAATATTAATACTAATTAATATTAATATTCACTTTATTACTTCTCCTGGATTAACATATTGTTGTAAATAATGATAATAATAATTCCATTTCTATATTAATTTAGGTATTATCCAATAATATTAAATACATTTTCTCAAGTGGTTACTAAAGAACAACGATCAAAAGTATTAGACAACATTTATGGAGCATTAGCACGTATGATAATCACTAACATTGAAGGAATTCCTCTCGACCATGTAAATATTTCCATGTCAAAAATTTAGTTTAACACTATTTATTTTATCTATGTTTAGTAGTTTAAATTCAATTTTCATTGAAATACCTAATTAAACACCTAATTAGTAGTTGTTTTTTTTTAATGACTGAACAATTAATTAATTAAATAAAAATGTCATGTTTCAAGCTGAGACAGACTTCAGAGTGTGGAAATGTGTTCAGTGTGAGAAAATAGTGTGTTTTAAATGTATAATTTTTTAATTTAATGAAATTTATGGCATTTAAAAAATGTTTTTATTAGTAAAAACTGCAATTGATTACATTGCTTATAAAAAATATTAATGCACTTATTTTTTAAAGGTGGTACCTGTTATGATCAACTATCTTCCATTACACGAAGACTTTGTTGAAAACTTAACAGTGTTTAAATGTTTGGTATATTTATATGAAATTGGCAACCAGTATATGGTTTCCATGCTAGAACCCGTGATTAAAGCATCACTGGCTACATTGAATGATAAAAGAAAATATTATGAAGATGGTAATTAACAAAATATAATTTAAATTCAAAATAACTACGATTAATTGAATAATGAATATGCTAAAGAAATGTACAGCTTACCTGTTTATTTTCATTTTTTTGTATCTTATTATAGTTTAAGTATTTATTTATTTTTAGATGTGAAAGAAGAGATTATTAAACTTTTGCGTATGTACAAGAGAGACTTTCCAGAAAAATGCTTGTCATTGACACTTCCTGAAGATTTATCCAAATTATTTAATGAAACATAATTGTAATAAAAAGTACAATGCGATTGTTATTGATCCAATATTATTTTGCTTTGAATTAAAAATAGTTTGAATATCAACAACTATTTATTCCATGATAATGATTATTATTTCTAATATTTTTTTAAAGCTTATTAAATTAAAACAGTTTGTTTAATTAAAAATTGTAAATTATTAAGTAAACATTAATTTGAGTATTTCCTAAATAAGTCTTTTTAATATTGTCAGTGTGTTCCTCTAGTGATAATTATCATTATTATTACTGTAGGTAAACTTTTGATCTTATCTACATTGATCACTATTAATTATTAGTATTTTGTTTCAAATGTTTCAATATTTTATATATTTGCCAATATTATATGTATTAGATTTTAGTGTTTAGAGTGCATATTTTATGTCGGGAATTGATCAGAAAATATATTTTCGAAAGCACTTGGAATTAAATTTAGGGTATAATTTAAATGAGTTAGTCAAGATGAAGCTTTTTTTATTAATATTTATCCATTGAAATTTGCAGGACTATTAAATTGTGTGATCCTGATACCCTCAAAAATGTTACTCTTTTTCAGATCTATGAAATAATTCTAAATACGCCTGTAAGCTATGGCCAGAACCCTGTATTGTCATTAAATGAATATTGGTTTGCCATTTTCTTGGTTAGTATATTATAAGTAATATATTTAGTCTTTCGAACCTACTTGGATATATAAATCCACCTTGTCTAAAGACCATGAACTGAGATCTTAGTCATGCTAAAGATTGAAACTATAAACTTGATTATTACACTACTATATTATAGTAAACCTGAAGATAGTGTTTGTGATTTAGAGTGTATTATGTCATAATAGGTAGGTGGAAAAAAAGCCCCAGAATAAATATATAATGGATAAAAGTCGAAAAACAAACACACCATCATGCGAGTGTACATGCAATTGTTTTATATTTTTTAAATATTTTGTTCATTGCAGGTAATTCGAAAAAACCTAATGCAATAGTACTTATTGAAGATTTATAAGAATAATTTATTCTATGTTAATAGTACATACGATAGATAACAGATAATAAATATAACTAATGGCCTACTCTAGTATCTCATATTACTAAGATGAATAATAATTTTAAAAAAATAGTCGATCCATTCCCCTTATATTAAACTAGAGCAACTAACTAATGTTCTAGATACTACTGTCTGTTTTTTATGGTACAATACCAAAAAGTCTGGTAAATATAGTTAGGTAAAAGGAAAAATATAATGTGATGCACAATCAAAATATCCAATTTTTTTTTTATTAACTAGGTGCAATTATAAAACTATGATAGCTCAAAAATTACTAAGGTATACATAATAGTACACTATAAAAGAAATTACAATTTTAATGGCAATTGTGGATTTTGTGTTGAAAATGGAGTAGATATTATAAGAAACATTAAGAGTTTTTAGTATGTTAATTAAAATTAGGCATTTGGTCTAGAGCAGGGCAGTCAAATAAAAATAGCTTAGGTCACAGATACATTCATTTAAATAAAGAGTACAGAGTAAATTCCAATTACTATTAATATAAACTTCAACTAAATGATTTACCTGACAAAATTAATAAATAAATAATTTTGTAGGTACCAATATTTGCAAAATATATCAGTGAAATATATTATTTTAAATAGTGCTATTCATACACATAAACAGGAACTTTTTTAATTAAGATATTTAATATCTGAGAAAACTGGGAAAATATTACCATCATGGCATCATATAATGTTTAACCTAATTAAAATCATTGAATTTTTTTTTTACTTATTATTTTAAATACTATATATATTGGACTTTCTTATCTCGGTCTTATTTATCCCTAACTTTTCAAGCTTAGGACTTTTTTTACTGAGATTAGTTTTGAATTGACTTACTATATTATTATTTTTATAGTTCTGCAATTTTTGTATAAATGTAATATATACCTAAAACTAATGTTTGACTATGTATAGGTCCTAATGGCTAATATATTATATCATTAACCACCTAATGACTCAATATAAAATTATTTATAACTATAAAATATAACATTTAACACAACATATTATGTGCCCATAGAAATGTTCATATTTAAACTAAACATTTTTTTGATAGATTTTGCATTCTGAGCGGAGCGATGAATGTACTGATTTTACAATGATGTGTATTTTTTTTGTCCTTCACCTTTTGCCCGGCTTTTAGGAAATCTTTTCTGGCGGCCAAGTGAATCTAATTGGTACCTACCTACTATACACCATAAAGTTTCCAAATATTTTAACTCGTTTTGAGATGTTACCGGACATTTTGAATTTTTTTAGTTTTTTTTCTATAAATGCCAATAAAATGTTATTTGTTGGTCAAAAAGCTTGACAATTTAATACAATGCTCCTAATATATTGTTACAATATTAGTTGAAAAATATTAAAAATATATAGGTAAAATTTTGTTTTATAAGCATTTAAAGTTCAAATTTATCAAATTGAAAATGTACAAATTATTTTGTAGTTAAATATTTATAAGATGGTCATCTTCTTAGCTAAGGATTAAAATTAAAAAACAAAGTTGCACACAAGAAGTTAATTCTGTAAATAAAAAATCTAAAAAATATATTAACAATTTTTCTTTACAGTTATTTTATGTTAAAATTTGGATAAACTTACACATTGTTAAATAACCAAGAATAATGATTAAGTTATTTTGTAGTAATTTAAAAATATTTTTTGGTAGCTACCTACTTGAAACTTTTAGAGGGCCTATTATGCCTATATTATTATATTTTATACCGATAATGACTTCAAATGTAATATTTTTGGCAAAAATGAATTTAACCTACTGTAGTGCCTACCAATGCTTAATAGTAAAATAAATTACTTTAAATACAATAACATAATCAAATATACTAAATTACTAAGTAATGTTATTGCTGACAGATCTCCTTCGCTTATTGATTTTCGTATACTGTATACAATGAATTTAAATCATAGAATTTAAATTTAATACCTTCCGTTAGAGAGACCTATGTATTTGTAACCTACTGTACAGCAGAGCGACATCCACTTACCCTCATTTATTAAAGTGAGATTTTTTCCTTGGTATGCTTATTTTTTGTGATTTTTTTTCATGATTCAGTATAATTATATTTATTGAGCATATTACACAATTTAGGAAATGTTTGAGGGCCATGGACTTGAACAATTTCTAGTTTAGCAAACCAATCGATTTTTTTTTATTTTTATAATGTGTGTTTTTGCATGCTTTATAAGAATGTAAAAAAAAAAGATTGGACAAACTTTGTTTTGAAGTTAAAAACTTCAAAAAGTACTGTTTAACACATATCTATTCCTTTTACAAAAAATAAGCAGAATTGCCAGAATTGAATATTTTAGATTTTTTTTCAAATTATATGGTTGATAACGCTCAATACATAGGTGAAATCAAAACTGACCTATCCTACTTATTTTTGAAGTTTCTGCACGTATATGATTAATGTACTAAAAGACTCAATTCAATCCTTTTAAATCACCAATAATGTACCTATCTGTCACGCTTGTCTACTTCCACAAGGAAACAACGACCCGTATCTCTTTCAACTCCGCCAAATACCCATTGGCCTTCAACACGATGTCCCCTATGATATTTTCGCTTCCCAAATGTACCTACTCATCTATTTCAACAATAGTCCCTTGACCACCTAAATACAAAGTTTATTTAAGAGACATTTTATAACTTTCTTAAAATTATTTCAAAAATTATTTTTCTTGCTCAGTGATTACGAGTGTATCGGCACTCGTTGTTACGCTCCGAGGCCTAGCCTTTTTCACCGATAACTTCAAAACAAAGTTTGTCCGACCTTTTTTTTTTACATTCTTAAAAAGCATGCAAAAATCATACATTATAAAAAAAAAAAAACCAAAAAAATCGATGAGTTGCTAAACTAGAATTATGCTCATGACTTTATATAGCCCCAAAAACCCTCCCCCTATTATTGTCTATGATAATAGTATTATATATTTACTCTATATTTTCTATTAATATGAGTATGTATTTTTCGTACATGGTAAATAAAATAATAAGGTCAATGTTGGTCCATGTCTATTGTCTATTGCATAGAGTAAGAACTAAGAATTCTTATTACTCTATGGTCTATAGTCTATTGTCTACGCCCTACGCCCTACGGAATAAAATATAAATATGTATGCACGAAATAAAGTACAAATAATACAGTGATGTTCATTAATATTTACATGGTCATTTAATTACTTTAGATGTGGCCACACTGTAATACAATTTACGACCGCCATTTCATTAATTTTCATGATAGTTGATACGACGTATTTGTTACTAAATTTCTTACAATTTTTTTTTTTACAAAAAATATATTGTTTTAATGTTCATAAATTACAATTTTATATTTTAGTTTCATGAAAAGTCCGTAATACTTATGTGAGTTTAAGTTATACAATTTTACGTATAGTAGAGCCTATAAACATTTTAACTTCGTTTTATATCGGACGTCAGGGATTTTCCAGATGTAATAACAAATTTTTTGGAAGTGATTCGTTTAACAATTTGGTTTCAAGTAAATTGTTATCTGTTTTTATTTAATATGAAATACATTTTTAGTGTTAACTATCAATAAGTGTTGTGATTTAATTAATTACTTTTTAGTAAATTTTTTATTTGAATTGTGATAATCACCATGTATTGGAAAAATAATCCAGCATCTAATTGGGACTCAATTTTTGACAGAGAGGTAAATTGTTATTTTGATTTATGTTTTAATGTATGATTATTATTTTTATAAATTAATTGCTTAATTAATTATATATATTCTAGAATTTGTGCCTCAACGATCTCATGAGAGAACAAAATCTCTTAGAAGAGCTAAAGGGTCAGAACAAAAAACTCATAGACTTGTAAGTATCCTACTTTTAGTTTTCCTTAATTTTATAAAAATATATTTTTTATTATAATTTCCTACTAATAGTTTTGCATTTTGGATTTGATTTCTATCAAACAAACAAATTATTTTTTAGGAATAAACACTAAATTAGTATATCCACTATCTAGGTAT